TTTTTTTTTTTTTTTTTGCCCAGCCAGTCTTTATTAACAATAGATATTGAAATAGGCATTGGTACTACTTGCAATGGTATACCTGGAAAACCTTAGTTAATCCTGAAGGTTTGATAAACCACTGGATAGGAAACATGGACCAGTGACTGACTTTGGTTGTTGGGGTCAAGTTATGAATAGTCTCCTAAGAAAATACAGGCCTGTACCTTCCACACAAAACCTCAGGGGTTGGCTTCTCAGATCTGGTAACCAAGTTCTGGGCCTATTCAAACTACCTTAAATAGAATCCTAAATTGAGCGCTGATATTGCTTCCTTCCTTCCAAGTGTCCTCCCCAGGTCTCATTGGCCAAAGCAATGTTTTCTCAAGTGTGGGTTACAGGCCCCCAGGAATTGCTGATGCTGGTTAAAAATGCAGATTCCTAGACTCCACATCACAGCTCTGAATCAGAAACTATGGCTATAAGGGGAGCCATTCCCTAGATCTTTTTTTCTTTTTTTTTTAGAGACAGAGTCTCACTTTGTCACCCTTGGTAGAGTGTCGTGGCATTACAGCTCACAGCAACCTCCAGCTCTTGGGCTTAGGCGATTCTCTTGTCTCAGCCTCCTGAGTAGCTGGGACTATAGGTGCCCACCACAACCCCTAGCTATTTTTTGTTGCAGTTTGGCTGGGGCTGGGTTTGAACCTGCCACCCTCAGTATATGGGGCTGGCGCCCTACTCACTGAGTCACAGGAGCCTCCCCTTTTAGCCCATCACACCTGACACCAAATGAATAAAATTAACTCAGAGACTGAGGTGGGAGGATCCCTTGAGGTCAGGAGTTAGAGACCAGTCCCAGCAAGAGCAAGACCCCATGTCTACTAAAAATAGAAAACATTTACTGGGTATGGTGGCATATGCCTGTAGGCTCAACTACTAGGGAGGTTGAGACAGAGGCAGATTGCTTGAGCCTGAGAGTTTGAGGTTGCTGTGAACTGTGAAGACACCACAGCACTTGGGCGGGCACAGTGGCTCACCCCTGTAATCCTAGTACTCTGGGAGGCCTAGGTGGGTGGATTGCTTGAGCTCATGAGTTCAAGACCAGGCTGAGCAAAAGCGATACCCCCATCTCTATGAAAAATAGAAAAACTGAGGAAAGAGGATCTCTTGAGCCCAAGAGTTGGAGGTTGCTGTGAACTAGGATGTCCTGGCACTCTACCCAGGCCAACAGCTTGAGATTCTGTGACACCACCGCACTGTACTCTGGCCCTGGCAACAGAGTGAGATCTTGTCTCCAAAAACAAACAAAAAACTCCAAACCTATTAGCCAAATAAGCACGTTTTTTTTTTTTGCCAAATAAGCACTTTTTTTTTGGTTTGTTTTGTTTTTTTCAGACAGTCTCAAGCTGTCACCCTGGGTAGAGTGCAGTGGCGTTACAGCTCACAGTAACCTCAAACTCCTGGGTTCAAGTGATTCTCTTGCCTCAGCCTCCCAAGCAGCTGGGATTATAGGCGCCCACCACAATGCTCGGCTATTTTTTTCTTGGTTGTAGTTGTCATTGTCTTTTTTTTTTTTTGAGACAAGAGTCTCACTTGGTCACCCTTGGTAGAGTGCTGTGGTGTCACAGCTCACAGCAACCTGAACCTCT